AATGTATGAAGGTATGGAGGAATGAAAAAAAGGAATATTTGACAAATTACAACATTTATATTCAATAAAAATATCTATATAATTCAAAAATTTACATACTTGTAATTTGTAACAATGTATCTATATTTCCAGAACCCATCTTTATATTTATGTAAATATTATTGATAAAATTAGTAACAAATAATACAAGCGCATATTACTTTTAATTTATACCCATTCTTACATTGGAATAAATGACTTCTTTTAGAAAATACCATTTTAATATTTGAACTTTGAAATCTACTCGCCATCATTTATCCAAGTGTTTACTGGCTTAGATCGTACGGTTTGAGGGGTGCCTCGAGTGATATATGTACTTCAATATTAGCTTGCAAAAATACTATTCAATCCAAGAAGTGCATTGCGCATTATATTAAAGATGATATAAATGTAAGAGCTAAATCTGCCATTTGCATATCTTTCTTTTGGCCACAAATGGCTCAAATGTCTTATAAATTATTAATTAGACATTTATTCACATAACAAACCCATAATCGACTCTCTAGGCAATTGGATGTTTGCGATTTAATAATTTAACTTACAACTGGCTAATTTAGACTTTGTTTATTATCGTAACAACGGTCGCAATGACAATCGAGACGAGACTACCGTTCACTATTTTCTCTTTTAAAATTATTTTGTCGTTTGTGACAATGGGATATATGTTTTTCTTTGTAAATTACAAATGGCGCGCGAAAACATAAGAGTCGTATATTGATTTTAAAATATGCATTGTGTCTTAAATGGTGGATATTGACATCCCACATTTTTACAGTAAGATAACAACATCAATATTCATTAAAATTGACCAATATTGAATTTTATGGATAATAGAGATTAGCTCCTTTTCTTTAGAGCGACGGTCCCTTTATGAAACAAGCTTGATAAAATAGGCAGATATGTAAATTGGTGGTATTCTGGTCGCGCTACCATGAGTACATTATTACAAATTAATGAACTGGATGTTTACATCAAAGCGGCTGATAAAATCGACATTATTGTCGATTTAACATTATTGTGACTTAATCGACCCGAAAATTATCTGGCCCGACTACCACAATTTATGGGGATAAAAATAATATATATTGGACGATTGTTTACACGATAACATGCTTATATTCGTTGTATGGCAACATTTGTTCCTTCTTTTTAAATAAATAAAATGACAGTAATGGGTTTTCTAGCCGGTCTACCATAGCGGTCAATGATGTGGTTTGCCAGCGTGTAATAACGTAATTGTCTGAGGAATTACTTTGTCAACGCAGATGAGTTGAGCAAATACATCAAGGCTGGATGATGAAGATGCTGGAGAGAAAGCTCGTCCACGGGTTAGCCTAGCTTTCTGATTTCTGAAGAAGGCTCTCTCGTGTTCGACGTACCCAGCGGCATCCCGATCTTGGAACTGGAAGCGAGCACGATTTACAACGCATGTAGGGTTAGGCCCCATTGGCACGCTAGATCCAAATTCTCCATATGGACTGGCCCCAGGTGGACTGACCCAAGGTGTACTCAGCTGAAAAAATTACGCCAATCAACACCACCAACCGTTTATGAACGACATCCAGCTTCTCGGATGTACATGCCAGTGAAGAGATAAACCAGGTACACGCGATAAATAGTCAGTTAGCAGCAATAGGCATAGCCATAAAATTTAGCAATAGTACAAAATGTGGCAACCGTGAATGCCTATGCACCCCAGAGGCCCCAATAACAACAAGGGGCTCCTTCCAAGTAGGATGCCGATCAACTCCCAATCTGTTTTTGTGGTGATTGCACACAGCGCGGGGCTTATCGAAGAAATATTGTCGGGAGACTATATGAGAACGACCTCAGTGCGCTGCATGAAGGGAGCCCAATATATGGAGGAAGACCTGCCACGCCTGGACGCCACTTTCTGCTCTCTAGGCATAGTACACCAAGAGATAAAACAAGCAAGGATTGAGTTTTAGCTATCTATGTTAGCGATAACATAGTATGGATCACTAGTCAGTGATGATCTTATGATATAATTCAACATACAAGTTTAATCACCCAGGGACCCAATTGGGTGACCTTCGATGCAGTATTACGTGGTTGTAAGACCGACGACATCATCGACATCAAGATCAATGTGCACTCTGCCAACACCACTATGAGACCGAAGACGAGTTTATACCAAAGACATCTTGGTGGACGCCAGCGTCAATGCAACGAAGATAAGCACCAACCATGCTCGAAGACAAAATATATTGCCAGAGATAAATCCAACGAAGCACGAAACAGACACCGGATGCGTTGCATTCTAAAACGCAAATATGTCATCTGGACGCAATTGAATACAATGAACGGAAAAACCAGAAACTACTAAATACCAACATTAGAACAGGGGACGAATTCATTACCACGTTCATTGGAATAATCTTTCTCCGTGTCTAACATGGAGACCTCACGTCGTAAACAGCTGCACCAAGTAGTAGTAGCAGTAATAGAATATCTTCCACTAAAAGACTAGTCACTGCTGCAGGCGTGCTATGGGGGTACGGGAAAGGGGCAAGAATAGCAAATTTGCTATATTCAGGTCTTAAGTGACATTAAAGATAATGGTGTTAAAGATGATGTTAAAATAGATGCATTACCTTCTATACCTAAATTCCATAAAACCCGGTTAAGTTCAGATACATAATATCCTCCAGCAACTGCCAAACAAAACCTTTGGCCAAAGCAATAGCCAGAGGACTTAAATTATGCCAAACCCAACATGCCATTTGGCGCAGAACACTTCGCAGTTACACTGCCATTAATTTTTTTTTTCATATTGATAAAAACAAACCCATCGTAAAAACTTCAGATAAAACCAATCAAAAACCTAATGCTAAATCAATAAAAACGTTTGACCTTTCTGCTTTATATACTATGCTTCAACATTCAGAACTTAAAGACAATTTGGATTGATTTTGGAAAAAGATTTAAATGGAGCTTTCAGAAAAGTCAAAAACTTAATTGCCATTTCTTCAGACGACGCCAAATGGATTATAAAACGTCGGAATGCCGATACTGTACTGTGGTTTTTGACAATGAAAAGTTCCAAAACATTATACATTTTTTTTATTGACAATGCGATATTGGAGGTTAGGGATCAATCAGATAATACAGCAAACAATTGGGTGTACCAATGGTAACTGACCCCACCCTGTATATCCAAATGTACATTAATAAAAATATGAAATCTGCTTTCAGAATCATAAAAGGACAACTGATTATAAAGAAAGTAGCCAAAACTCTAAACTACATGTATACCTTCCGATACATTGATTGCAAAACACATATAAATGATAACGGAACTTTCAATAAATATAAAAGTGAAATATATCCACCAGAACTAATATTAAATAAGGAAAATTCGGGCACTATACTGCACATGTTCTTGAATTATAATTGACAGTAAATTTAATGTCGTTTTTTTTTATTCGACAAAACGGACAAATTTGGCTTAGATGTGCTAAAATACCCGTCAATTTATACTGTAGTAACATTCCAGATATCACGCTATTTATAATGTTTTCTATTCACAGGCATTACGATGTTTAACAATATGTAACGATAAAGAGCTATTTCTTTCTAGAATAAAATCTCTTTATTTTAAGTGCACTGCCAAAGGCGGAACACAATAACGTATTTTAAAAGAATTTTCGAAACTTCCATTTCTTCAACATACCAAGTTTGACATTTCTTATAAGTATATAACTAATTACATATTGGGTAAAGATCTAATTAAATAATTATAGTTAAATTTTCTGCAGTTTCCTAATCTGGATTATCGCCCTCATTTTATGCTTTTATATAAATACACTTTTATAGTTCGATTTCTTCAACATAGCTATAGTTTGCATTTCTTATAGGTGTATTACTTATTATATTTTGTGCAATTACATAGCTGAATAATTCCGATTAGTTCCTAAGTTGGTAGTTTTTTTTTTAACGTTTTGGCGTTGTCTTATCTGGATTATCGCCCTTTTATTGTTGGTTTTTATTGCATTTACCTCTTGGCGTCATTTCTCAAACTACCGTCTTTTACGTCACGTCATTCAGTAGGCGATTGTCACACATTCTCCATTTGCTTCTTTGTATTCAGTAGGGCCTATTGTTTTCCTCTGTTTTTGTGATAAATTGGACATATACCCGAACTTTGTAGTCAATATACCTAATTTCCTTGAACGCTTTTAATGTTTCTCACTATAACATAGATCATTTAGTTTTAGGCTACTTGGCTCTTTTTTACATACATTTCACTGATATGATTGCAAGTATAGGTATTTTTTCCTTCTATATGCTTACAATAATATTTTATGTGGCATATAACAGATCATGACTCGGACTAGTATAATACAATGTTTTTGCAATATATTCCTCTTTATTGTTAGTTTTAATTTATGAGTGAAGTCTGTATCACTACAGGTCCGGGATTGTACACCGCAGAGGACGCTTACGGCTAGCCTCGAATCATTCACTTAATATGTACGTTTGTTAGAGATTTCTGCGTATTGTGTCTTGTCCGTAGATTTGTCTTGTGTAATTGTGTGTGGTGCAGGGGGCACTTACTATAAGATGTGAGTTCTTACATCAAGGCTTGAAAGTCGACTATAAACATATTATATAGCATACTGTTTCTTGTGTTTTGGTCTGGTCAGGCTACTGTAGAGTGCACTACTGCAATTTCAGACTATTTGAGCGAAAGTTTATAGCGTTCTTGTGTTCTGGTCGGACTATCGTAGAGTACACTAGTGCAATTACAGTTCGTTCTATCAACTGTGTCGCTATTTAGCGACACAGTTGATAGAACGACGATTATAAATAAATTATTGTCAAAATTAACAAATTGTTTACCGAACGTTGGTGTTTATACGGTTGATGAAACGAAAGATATGTAAATAAGTTGTTCTGGTAGGGCTACCGTAGAGTACGCTGACGTAACTACAGTTAAGAGGATGCTCATAGAGGTACCGTCCAGTACATGCTATGAACACCTATCACTCAGTTAATATTCCAAATTACCTGTAAAATGTCGGAGGTGTTAGGTATCGGTGATTACCTGACAATAGCTGGGTATTTCCTACTTGTTTTAGCTGTTGGGCTCTGGGTAAGAATATCTGTATTTATTTTTACATTTAAACGTCATTTGTTGAAGACATTTAAAATGCATACATAAATTTAAGCTGAAGATATATGTTTTACTATAGTCGTGCGCGAAGAGAACTGATTAGAGTTTAATAAATTAAAACATGTATATATTTAAACAATATAAATTAAAACATGTATATATTTAAACATGCATTATGCAAGAGCTAAATCTGCCTATTGCAGGTCTTTTTTTAGGCCTGAAATGTTTTCTAAAGTATTAATTAGACATTAATTAACTGATCCAGGCCTTAATCAACTCTCGATGGCATCAGATTTCTCCGATATTAAATAGATTAGAATGGTTCAGCGATACTTTGATTTAAATCTGCCTATTGCAGGTCTTTCTTTAGGCCTGAAATGTTTTCTAAAGTATTAATTAGACATTAATTAACTGATCCAGGCCTTAATCAACTCTCGATGGCATCAGATTTCTCCGATATTAAATAGATTAGAATGGTTCAGCGATACTTTGATTTAATTTAATCAAATATGGAGGACCGAGACTTAGCTTCGATCAACCAGTACGGTGGTTGAAATTATTGCACACGTCTGTCAAACCTTCAAAGGCTATAATCTTCGCTTGCAATAGAGTAATTTGAATGAAATTTTCAAATTATTCATTTTACATCATCTACTTTCGAACTATTATAGCAAGAATGGCTAGTTCTTTATCTAAATCTTACATAATGTATCTTTAAACAATATGAATTAAAATTGGGTTATACGTACTCCTACGGTTCTGCATCGACTGGGCTAATGAAGACGACCATTCGCCATACAGTATGCTATTGGAGAATTTTTGCGTGTACATAAAGGAACCATAGCCAGTTGAATTCGAAATAAGAATACGTCACAGCGCCACTTAAAGGGCAAAATTCTACCCATAGCACACAGCATAGCGTATGCAAGTCATCTTTAGGCCAGTGGGTACAGAAAAGCAGGACGTAAAAAAAATCCATCTCATTTCTCTGTTTCTCGCTCGCTTTAAATTGGTCGACTTTTTAATGAACTACCGAAGTATATCCCATATAATCTAATTAACCGTGTTGTAAACTTCTGAGGTTTTTTAAAAATAGTTTGAAGCGTTCTCGCACCAGGTTGTGTGTAAGGTTATCTAACCCATAAGCCAAAATAATTAACATGTAACTCTAGACGTTAACAGATTACGAAGCTAATATTAGCGCTTAGCGCAAGGCCATCATAACATGGTACAAGTTCAACAAAATATTCCCTGGAGTTTTTATAAGTCATAGAAGAACACTAACTTACAAAAAACTCATTTCCACTGTTGTTTATGATACTTCCTGTCAATCATGGAAACCAATTTCCCGCTCTTTAGACATTTGTTTATTTGAGATTGGAGAAGACATTTTCCTATCTTGTTTGCCTGTGACTTCAAAAGACATTTGCCTATCTTTAGTCCTTGGATTGTCTTTAAGTTGAGAATACATTTCCTTTTCTTTAGTCCTTTGTTTATCTATTACTTGGGATCGCATTTCCCTTTTTTTAGTCCTTTGTTTATCGTTTTTTTGAAGGCCAATTTCCCTGTCGTTAGTTATGTCCGTCTGTGACCTGGGGCCACATTTCTCTATCTTTAGTCCTTTGTCTTGTGAGTTGAAAAGACATTTACCTTTCTTTATCCCTTTGTTTCTCTATGACTTGGGACCACATTCCCCTTTCTTTCACGATTTGTCTGTCTGTTACTTGGGATCACATTTCGCTTTCTTTAGACATTGGTTTGTCAGTGACTTGAGAAGACATTTCCTTTTCTTTAGTCCTTTGTTTATCTGTAGTCATTTATTTGTCTTTGAGTTGAGACCACATTTCCCTTTCTTTCGTCATTTGTTTGTCTTTGAGTTGAGACCACATTTCCCTTTCTTTCGTCATTTGTTTGTCTATTGAGTTTAGACCACATTTCTCTTTCTTTAGTCATTTGTTTATCTGTGATTTAAAGATCAATTGTCCTTTCGATAGTTCTTTTTTGTCTGTGATTTTAAGAGAACATTTATGAACGTTCAAAATAAAATATAAATGACTAGGCAACATAAACCATTGTATAAGGTAATGTAAGGTAACAAAGTGACTACCACGTTTCAAAATCTTTAATATTCACCATCGTGTATTTAATATGTGCTCATACTTTTACTCTACTGGGTGCTAAATACACACATAAACTGAATAATACGACATAAATTGACATGATAAGTTTATTGGTAAACTGTTAATCACAATAATAGCCTAGTTTGCCTTCCGTGTATTTGTGTTTATAAATTAATTCATGTTTGTGTCAACCAATATTACATATGTGATGGGACTGGTTAAACACATTCCAAATTTAAAATTTTAACACAGGGATCATTGCTGTGTTAGATGCGTAACAAAGATTTGCAGAAACCGGAAGTGACGCAAGCAAAAGGAAAATACGAGTAATCCTTATATATAACTGACTGCATGTAAGAGCGATAACAGACGAAAAGTTGTAACATTAAACTCTGAAAAAATATCTGTTCGAAACGAGATTAGAGAAAGCGAGAAAAATTGATTTACAACGTGGTACAAAGGATGTAATTATTCGGCTCGGTTGTTTTAGTAGTAATATGTTTGTAATTATCTATCGTTTTTATCTTTACAGTCGTCATGCCGACCACATCGAGACAGTGCAGCTGGATACTTTTTGGCGGGAAAAAACATGCACTGGATACCCGTAAGTAACATTTACTAGATTGGGAACCTTGAAACTGACAAAAATGGTTCTAGTGGCACATATTAATGTAATATGAATGTATGTAAAGTGATTTATATCCAATTTTCTAAAAGAATATTGTAATTTCTAATCAGTTATGTTCGATGAAATACGTGAACAGTTCAAATTGAACGGCAGACATTTACACTTGCTTAGTGGATTCTACACGTTTTTAAATTATTATTTTGTCGTTTGTGAAACGGCCTTTACTAATTACTTTCACATTGTGTTGTAGGATATATTTTTATTTGTTCATTACAAAATGGCACCCGAAACCATAGGGGACATGACTTGTGTACTGATTATAAAATGTTAATTGTGTCTTAAATATTGGATATTAGGAACCTATAGTTTCACAGCAATATAACAACATCAATATTGATTGAAATTGACCAATAATATATTGAATTCTAATTCGTGTCTTTAATTTCGAATATTATGGAAAATAATGAGTTAGAGATTTAGCTCCTTTAACCAGATATTTATAATTGTAAATTATTGATATTAAAGTAGCAATATTGTTATTTATATTTAAACAAACCATGCCCAGATAAAATTAAATTATCTGGCAACCAAATTATTTTTTTCCAGTGCGCGATATAGCCGCTAGATAAACAACTAGGCCATCCTGCACGGGGCTGTTTCACGAAATTTTAACTATGATAAAATCCAAATTTTAGTAATTTGATCGGATAATATTAGGTTGATTTTAGTGCTTAGCCAATCAAAATTGAAGTATCTACTAAAATTTGGATTTTATCTTTAGTTAAGATTTCGAGAAAGTTATGTGATCAAGTTTTGTTTCATTTGGATCCTCCTCATAAAAATTCCCCTACTAAACTCTCTTTGTCGTGTTGTTCATAACTCAAGCATAATATTCAATATGTAATAGTCATGAAAAAAAATATGAATACGACACCCCCTGATAAACATTGTATTGGTGTGATGTTTTAGTTTAACCCCGTAAAATATGCCAAAACAGTGTTTAATACAGAAGACTGAAACTTTAAAACATTTTTTTGGGGGGGTGGCCACACTCTCCCTATCGCGCTACAACGTGCCTCCGGCGTCACAGATTGTCAACATTTTATATTATTTCATTTGCGTACCCCCCCCCCCCCAATATATATTTCACGGCTACGCCTCTGAATGTCATGGAAAGAAGTGCACTCTTATCTATAAAGAATATATATTCGTGTAGGCACAATGGTTTAAAAATTACCAATTTGCGTGTAGTGTTCTTTGGTACTGGAAGGAAGCCGGCGGCCCCTGAGAACACCTACGAGGTTGGACAAGCATGCCGGGAATCGGAATAATAATAATAATAATAATAATATCTTTATTTTCAAAGGTGAAAAATTAGGCTTAAAGCCTGGTTACAATTTTGCCCTTTATAACAAAGAAATGAAAAAGACAGTAACAGAACAAGACACTTAACAAATACTCTCACACAAAACATTCAAATATACTGATAACCTAATATAGTTTAACTTCAAAACTAAAAGTAATATGATAGATAATATGTAGTATGTATTAAATATAGGCTACAGGTTAAGAAGAAGAACTAACATGCCTAGTGATATTTTTCTTAAATAAATGAAGATTTTTAATATTTTTAAGTGAATATGAGAGAGAATTCCAAAGCACTGTGCCTCGATATTGTAAACTACATTTAAATATTTCATTATTAGGTCTACAGATAGGAAGTTTATTATTGAGAGATGAATGGTGTTATAATGAAAAATATTATATAAATATGATGGGCAAAGTTTATGGATAATTTTATAAACAAAAATATATTTGTTAATTAAAAGTCTTTGATAAATATTTTGAAGATTTAAAGATGAAGATAAAAATTGATAATTAGATAAGAAGGAGGTCTATTGTAAATATAAATTCAAGGATAATTTTTGAAGTCTCTCAAGTTTAGATATAGATGTAATTGAACAAGAGTCCCAAATAGTGGAGCAATAATTAATATGAGATTGCATATGAGAAAAATAGAACAATTTAAGTACTTCAGTAGGAAGCAACTGTTTTAATTTGCGTAATTGAAAATTTTTCTGTCGAAGAAGCTTAGATAAATGATCAACATGAGGAGACCAAGTGAAATTTTCATCAAAAAGTTTAAATGTAGAGACATTTTCTAAAGGTGAATTATTTATGTGAATTTGAAATTTTGTTGAAATTAATTTACGCCGTGAAGAAGGTGTAATACTCATTGTTTTAGTTTTGGTTTCATTAATTACCATGTCATTTGTGGAACACCAATTTTGAATAATAGAAGTTTCATTTTGCAGTGTAGTAATAAATGAAGTAACATCAGAAGATGAGGAATAGACAGTAGTATCATCAGCAGCAAATAAATCACTATTAACATGTAAATGTAAAGGTAGATCATTAATAAATAAATTAAATAACAAAGAACCAAGGATTGAACCTTGGGGAACACCTTGAGTTATCATAGCAGGGGCAGAATAAGTTTGTCCAATACTGGTACATTGTTGTCTATTATATAAATAGGAAGTTAAGAATTTAATCAGGGTATAAGATAAATTATATAATTTCAGTTTTTGAAGTAGAAGATTATGATTTACTAAATCAAAGGCTTTGCGGAAATCAATAAATACCATACCTGTATACAGATTATTATTAATAGCATGATAAATGTTATCAGAAATATTAGTTAATGCCGTTTGACAAGAGCAACTGGATCTAAATCCTGATTGATTTGAATAAAGCAAATTATATTTCTCAAGGAAAGAATTAATGGATTGAGAAATATGTTTTTCTAATGGTTTAGATAATGTAGGTAAAATAGATATTGGCCTATAATTACTAGGATCATTTTTAGCACCAGATTTGTAGAATGGTAAAACTTTAGCATGTTTGAGAGAAGAAGGAAATATATTTTTTATCAATACACAAATTATAAATATAGGTTAATGAATCAGATAAAAAATAGGCGGCATGTTTGATGAAAAAAGGACCAAGTCCATCTAATCCTACAGATTTAGTTGGATCAAGAGAAGAGAGCAGTTTATATACATGTGTACTTGATTTAAAGTCATATATGGAACATGACAAAATGTCTTATTATCAATATGCTAAGATACAAAGTTAGAAATTAAGTTAGAATTGTTATTACTTAGTTGAGTAGTAGAATTCGGAATACTTGACTAAATGACAGACCTTGCGATCTAACATGCACGCGTTAAACCTTTCGGCCACCCAACTCCCAGCGACATTAACGGATAGAAGTATTCCGCTGAATACAAACGCTAGTGAATGTTAAAAAATATTAGTACAGCTATTAACAGTTAGAAATATGTCTTGAATTCGACCGCATACGAACGCTGGTGTTAAAAAAGTGTTAGTTATCATGCTCTGAAAAAATAAATGGGAATTAAAAAAACTGGGTCTATACATGGTATAATAAATCATATATATATTTGCATTTTTTCACACAAGCAGTTACATGCACGGTATGCATATTATTATAAGCATTGGCGGTTAAAAATAACGCTGGTGAAATGTCAGTAATGTGCTGTCTAGGTTTTTTGTCGTTCATAAGAAAAAAGTATTAGATATTGTGTATGAACATATGTTTAAATCATGCATATTAGCATCACTAGATTACTAGTATATAATGGGAAAAACAGTCTTTAAATGAGGAAATTAGACATGACATTAAATGGAGTTTAACGTCCAACTGTTCTGCAACGACTGAGCTAATGAAAACAGACATCCGGTGTGCTATGAGGGAAATCGTTCCTGTACAGCGATACTATGGCCTACTCTTATTTCGAATTCAAAATATCATGGGTTCTTTTACGTGCAGGGCAATTTGTATACGGGAACTCAGAAAAGTCCGGAATGAAACACGAGACCACCGGGTTAGCGGACCAAGGTCTTACTCACCGAGTAAATTAGAAGGATTATAATATTCTCTTTCATTCTGCCCCCCTATTTATGCAGGTCCAAGGCCACAGTGATAAAATTCAAGCCCCGAGATCACAAAAGCGTTCCCAGGCTTAAGTTATGAATTTACTAAAACTTATTCGCCTTGTTTTAACTAAAATAAAGCCCTTTGTTGTTTTAATGTGTCAAGTACATCAATAAGAAACTAAAGTTTTGTGTTTCTGTATCAAATATATTTCTCATAAATAGTGACTGAAAGTCGAGTAAATTCCTAACTTAAATCTGAGATTGCTTTGTGAACTCGGGGCCGGGTTTGCTTTGGGCTAAATTTTGCCCGGACAGCGGATTTTATGTCTACACTTCTTCGAATTCTAATCTCCAAGAGGTTTGTTTTACGTGAACGCCAATGTACACACAGGACCTCGTTTTTCCGTTCCGTCCTAACGACTAGACACTGTTCCGTGCCAAACCCTCCGCTTTACTTCTCTGGCAAAAGAAATCCCGCGATTTCGACCCACTGCTGGATCGAACCCAGGACGTGCTGGTTAGTGAACCATTCCCGAGTAAAGTCTAGCTCACAACCCACCGTACGTGTTATTACGTGTAGTCTACGGGAGAAATTTTTAGTAAACCAGTGCGTGAGACTTATGCATAACCTGCATGCCACCGTATTACCTATATAACACATTACTCGCGTAACATGTTACATGTATATTACATTATCTGTATAACATTAAACATTGCCTGTATAACATATTACATGGGTAACACATTACCTGCATAACACATTGCCGGTATAACACATTGCCTGTATAACACACCACCTGTGTAAAACATTACCTGTATAACACATTGCTTGTATACTTGTATAAGGGCACAACAAACCAGATCGTTTACATATGGTTCATAATTTAAAAGTATGTAATTTTAAAAGGAAAAAAATCTTGTTAATATGTAATGAGGCTCATCTTTCATTGAGAATTGTCTGGCATGTACAAAGAATATATCACATTCTTTATTACTAGTAAAAATACAAATGGCGGTTTGAAATCAATATAAACCAGCGAACGCTTACAGTGACCATAATATCTTAAATAAGATTTGACCGATTTCAATAACGTCTGGACAAAACATATTCTAATAAAATACTTTTGATAGTGTCTTATGGTTTTTATTGATAACACAGTAATTCGGGCCTGATGGGGCTTTAAATTCACAATAAGGTACAGTTCTTAAAGATGCATTAAGTAAGATTTAGACAAAGAGCTGCCAGTTCTCGCTATAATAGTTCCAAAATAGATAATTGAAATGGAATATGTTGAAAATTACTTCATTTATGGATGTTTGAAAAACAATGTAGTCTTGATTATCATTGCTATCGTTCTCGATAATCAACTATGTCTCTATTATCCATTTTTTTCAGGGGGGTTGGATGGCTGGATGGTTAGCGTGCGCGCGCTGTATCATAAAGTCTGTCATTGAGTCGACTGGCGTGGTTTCGAATATCGGTTGTACGTGGCAAGGAGTAGGGTCGACTGTCCAACCTCGTGGGTTTTCTCCGGGTCCTCCGGTTTCCTCCCACTGCTAAAGACCCCTACGCGCAAGCGAATTATGTAAATAAAATTAAACCATATGTTAGTCCCGAAATGACCTAGTTTGTGTCGAGTGGACGTTAAACCCCATTTCTCTCTCTCTCTCTCTCCATTTTTTAATTCAATTATTAACTTACATTCGTGTTTAAATCCGTTGAAAATCGCTGCCATCCGGTCATCTAAATAGTTGCTTATGGGCTTGACATATGAATAAATGTCTAATTAATGATTTATATAACATTTGAGGCTCTAACGAAAGATTTGCATTAGGTATCTTTAGCTCTTACATAATGCATCCTGAGCTCTCACATAATGCAGCTTTAGCTATTTCATAATGCTCTTACATAATGCATCCTTAGCTCTCACATAATGCAGCTTTAGCTATTTCATAATGCTCTTACATAATGCATCCTTAGCTCTCACATAATGCAGCTTTAGCTATTTCATAATGCTCTTACATAATGCATCTTTAGCTCTTACATAATGCAGCTTTAGCTATTTCATAATGCTCTTACATAATGCATCTTTAGCTCTTACATAATGCAGCTTTAGCTATTTCATAATGCTCTTACATTATTATAATGCTCTTACATAATGCATCTTTAGCTCTTACATAATGCATCTTTAGCTCTTACATAATGCATCTTTACTTATTATAATTACAGGTCGGTTGTTCTATATTTGCCAGTAATGTCGGAGCTCCAATGTTTATTGGTTTAGCAGGTGCTGCCGCAGCATCCGGATTCGCGGTCACCATTTTTGAATGGCATGTAAGTATAACCCCGAGGACAATCAGTCATAAAACTATTGACGAATTATGTCTATTCAGTATGTCTGTGAATCTATGAGTTAGTATTGGGCGTATCTGGTGCCTAATACTAATAAACATGCGTTTGTAATGTGCTATAGACTCCACACAACCGAAATGTTCACACACGACAGTTTATATTAATATCAATTTATATCACTTCTGTTAAAATAATGATATTCTATTGAAGGATGTGATAATTATATATATAATATTTAATAAAGTAATGATATTCTACTGAAGGTTATGTGCTAATTACATTTATCACCCAATAATACATTCTACAGTAGATATTGTTTGTGTGATAAATTTCATAATCTACTGCGATATCTCCTTAGGATTTTACATGAATTTGATTGGTCAGTTGAAAAGGAACTACATTTTTTTTTTATTTTCAAAGAACAGTTCATTTTTTTTTTATTAAAAGTAACTTCTTTTTTTATTATTAAAAATGAACTATTTTTTATTTAATTGACCTTGATGGAAACACTGGGTCAATATGAAGGACTTTACAATGGTTGAATTTCTGTGCATGTAAGAAAGCATTGGGTGATAGATAAAATCTCCCACCCAATTTTTCTTGATATCAAAAAAGGCTCGTAGGAGATTCTCTATATAATATATATCTATAGAGTAATAATATTCTATTGAAGAGTGTGATAATTGTATGTATGATATTTAATAAAGTAACGAAATTCTATTAAAGGGTGTGTGGTAATTATATAATTGATATCTAATAAAGTAATGATATCCTATTGTAGGGTGTGTGATAATTATATATAATTATGATATTTTATTGTAGGATGTGTGATAATTATATATATGATATTTAATAAAGTAATGGTATTCTGTTGTAGGGTGTGTGATAATTATATATATAATGTTCGATAAAGTATGATATTCTATTAAAGGATGTGTGATGATAATATATATGATGTTTAATAAAGTGATTATATTCTATTGAAGGGTGATGATAATCATAATATATGATATTTATTAAAGTAATGATATTCTATTGAAGGGTGTGTTTCTGCTGATTTCTCTAGGCTGGTTATTTGTTCCCGTTTATGTTTCCAGTGGGGTGAGTCTTATCTATAAGTCGCTTATGGTCCCGTCATGAATCCCCTGTCATGTTTTGTTATTTACACGGTGGGTTCGTTTTGCCAAATAATTCGCCACTTTCGGTGCTGTATTTAAATCTTGCATCATGCATCTTTAATCTAACCTATTGTGACAGGTGTCGTGTACTAAGCAGTAGAGTGGTTCTCTTTCCAGAACAACTGATACCACTTCCAATTTATTGAAGCAAATTGTATTATAATTGCCGTTTTTTTTATTTACAGGCCTATACTATGCCAGAATTTCTGAAGAAACGTTTTGGTGGACGACGATTGCGGATCTATTTATCTGCATTGGCTTTAGTATTATATGTCCTCACTAAAATATCTGTAAGTAATTATTAATTCAATGTCGTCCTGTACGTAAAAGAGCCGGGGTTTTTTATTAACAATATTTTATTTCATTTGAAATCGCATTGGGGAAGAAGGTTAAGCCTATGTTGACCCCTCTCCAGAAAAGAAAGTTTATTGTAATTCAATAACGAGTAGGATGAAGACCACTTTTCGGGCAAATTGATTCTCGTAGCACACTATATAGCGTGTGCCCGTCTTCATTAGCCCGACTGGTGCAGAAACGTAGGATATTAATTCCCATTTAATATAAAATCTGGATTGCCGAGAGAAAAATTGGCTAAAAATATTCATATTCATCCGCGGCGTAGTTCTCCCTGATAGTGGTACAGGGCTGGAGGCATGGCAAGCGACAATGAAAAACCGAGGTTCCTTGTATACATTGGCGTGCACGTTCGTAAAATAACCCTTGACAGTTGAAATTCTAAATAAGGGTGGGTCAGAGCGCCACTGTAGACCTAGACAAAATACACTCACAGCACTCTGAGTGGTGTATGCCCGCCTTCATATGCGCAATCGGTGCAAAAATAAAAGTAGGACGTTAAACCCCATTTCATTTCGTTATATTGCCCAAACAATGTTGGTAAAATAAGTGATGGTTAAAAAAAAATAGGAATATTATTAATGTTGTAAGGGAAGTAACTCCTGATGTACATATATTTTATTTATGATAGATGGAACTGTATGCTGGTGCTATATTCATGCAACAATTAATGGGTTGGAATATATATCTGTGTATTGTACTCATATTGGTAGTGACAGCTCTATATACCATAACAGGTAGATGTTGGTTTGATGTATACACGGGGAAATAACTTAGTAGGTTGGCTGGAGTAAGGCTACTAATTATTTGGACACTGACATCATATGTTAATTTTATGTCATATCTAGGGTTATAACTTTTTAAAACTCATTTTGTGGAGTTTTATTTTTCCCAGCACATAATCAAAATCCCGAAGAGGTTACTACGCGTTCTCTAATAATACCGCTAATTTAAAAATATCGAAACTGTTATTTTTTATATGGAATTTCCAAAATGTAGGTCTGTCTTCCCCCATGTCCTTCCTCTTCATAATCGATAATATTAACAAAAAACTCAGAGAAAATCTCAATTTAATTCCTTTTATCCAAAATTGTCTTGGAATAAAGATGCGACAGAACAAACACTGATAACATGGCTCAGAATGAAGTAATGTGAATGAAATTTTCAATATTTTCACTTTACATTATTGATTTTTGAGTTATTATAGCAAGCATGGTTAGCCCTTTATCTAAATCTTACATAATGTATCTTTAAGTTATGAACAAACTATGTGACATTTTGTATTTGTTCCAGGTGGATTGACAGCTGTGATGTACACGGATACACTACAAACTGTTATATTAATGATAGGAGCTACAGTTCTAATGATTATTGGTGAGTTGGTATTAGTTAAGATGTATTAATTTAGATGTTCAGACTATAGATAAGCTCGTATTAATTTAGATGGTAAGAATAACTATAGGTAAGTTTATATTTCGATGTTCAGAATGACCGTAGGTAAGACTTGTATTGTTTTAGATGTTCAAAATGACCGTAGATAAGCTTGTGTTTCGAGGTTGGGAAAGACGGTAGGTAAAGTTTGAATTGATTAAGATGTTCAGAATGACCGTAGATAAGCTTGTATTTGCAGGTTCGGAATGACTGTAAGGAAGTAGAGTTGTATTGATTAAGATGTTCAGTTATATTAAGTCCCTTGATCCTATCATTATGAAATAATCAAGTAAGATGTTCAATTGACATTGAATCCGTTATTTTATTATTTAGGTTTAATAGAGGTCGATGGAATGACTGGTTTAATGGACAGATATATGACGGCAGCAGCAAATAGTACAATAGAGAATCAAACTTTCTACAGATGTGGTTTACCACGCAACGATTCGTTTCATATATTTAGAGATATAGAGACTGGTGATATACCGTGGACGGGTTCGGTGTTTGGTATAACTATTATTGGAATGTGGGTTTGGTGCACGGATCAGGTAAAATAAACATGATTATTATTGTAATAATGTGAGACGCGTGTTTATTGCAATAAATTGTAGCATGTAATATAATGCACATTGTGTGATATAATGCTTCAATGCCAACACATAAAGTAATAATGGAATGTAATTAGGTCAACTAATAATTCAGTGTAAATAAGTAAGTAATAATGGAATATAAGTAATAGTGGAATATAAGTAACAGGTAAGTAGAATAATATAATGAAAATCATATTACAATAATGAACACGAGACATGAAATATAAGATGATCTGGTCCTCAAACACCCTAAGATATTGTCCAAATATCTAATTACTAACAGTAAATAACAGTCTAGATATTAAATACACAAACATCGGTTGGAAAACATATTCAAATTATTCAAATTATACATGAAGGATGTTTGACAATCCAATAATAATAATAATAGCCAGTTTTTATATTGCGCACAATCCCATCAAAGTTAACGTTCCACAATAGGCGTGTCTACAATTTGTAATGTATTTATTCTAGATTATGGTACAGAGATGTTTATCAGCAAAGGATTTTACTCATGCCAAGTCTGGTAGTTTATTTGCAGCCTTTTTAAAGATAACACCCTTCTTCTTGTGGATTATACCGGGGATGATCAGCAGGATTCTTTATCCAGGTTGGTCATAATAATTTGAAATTTTTAAATCTGCCTAAATCGGTCATAAATAAATAAACGGTACAACATACCCGAACAACAAAACGCAGACACACGTGAGAATAGATGGTAGACTTAAAGGTGCATTATGTAAGATTTAGAGAAAGAAATGAAATGAAATGAAATGGGTTTTAACGTCTTACTGTTCTGCTCCTAACCTGGGCTAATGAAGACGGGCACACGCCATACAGTGTGCTATGAGGGAAATTTTGCCCGGGCAGCGGCGCTACGGCCTACTCTTATATCGAATTCCAACTGCCAAGGGATCTTTTACGTGCATTCCAATGTATACACGGGACCTCGGTTTTTCGTCTCATCCGAAAGATTAGACAGCTGTCCTTGTCAGACCCTCAGTTCTGCACCACTGACAAGGGGAAACCACGTCGGAAAATCCAGATGAACTTTCTCGGCCAATGCACGGACTTAAAGGTGCATTATGTAAGATTTAGAGAAAGAGCTTCCAGTTCTCACTATTATAGTTCCCAAATAGATAATTAAAAAGGAATACATTGACAAGTTAAGTAAAATTACTTACTTCTGGGTGAAGTTATGACTGTTAAAAGAATAGCGTAGTCTCGATTTTCATTACTACCGTTGTTTTGCCAATAAAAAAAGCCTCGATTGTGCATTTTTACTTCAAATTATTAAATGGTGATCGTGTTTCAATTCGTTTAAAATCACAACTATCCGGTGGTCTAGAGAGTTGATTACGAGCTTGTCATGTGCATAAAAATGTCTAATTAATAATTTAATTAACATTTGAGGACAAGAAGGAGATTTTTCTCTTATATACTATTAAAAAAAAGTAGGGGATATTTGATTTTTAAGTGTTATTAAAGTCACCTAATGAAACTGACGAAGAAACAAATGACAAAATGAAATGAAGTTCACATTCATCGATTTATTCCAAATGATCGTTAGACTAAGTAAGGCACAGACTGACCATTATAAGGGTAAAATGATACCCGGGGTCAAACAGCAAAGTTACCACAGCATCACAACCAAGTCAGTAACGGGTAAATTCTCCTCTGCTTGCCAAACAAGCATTGATCCGACGTGGCATACTCCTAATGAGACGTCTAAGGTCATTTTGGTCCAGATTGTCCCATTCCTGTTGCAACGCAGCAGCAAGTTCTTGGACATTGGCAGGACGTTGTTGACGTCGACGTAACCTCTGTCCAAGCATGTCCCAGACATGCTCGATGGGGGAGAGGTCGGGACTCAGTGCTGGCCAAGGTAATGGGGTGATGTTCTGTTGTTGGAGGTAACCTGTAACGATCCTGGCCCTGTGACATCTTGCGTTGTCATCCTGGAAGATGAAACGGCGGCCATGACGTCGTGCGAACGGCACAACATGGACTGCCAAGATGTTGTCCCGGTAGTACTGGCCTGTAACACGCCCTGCAACAACATGTAAAGCCGTTCGTCCAGCAACAGTGATGCCTCCCCACACCATAACAGAACCACCCCCAAATCGATCATGTCTGATGACGTTAACGTCTTGGAAGCGCTCGTTTCGACGACGCCACACCCTCCTACGTCTGTCCAAAAAATCAACAGTGAACCTTGACTCATCTGAAAACATCACATTGCTCCAGCGTCAATTATCCCAGTGCTGACGATCCCTACACCAACGACGTCTTGCCTGAATGTGATGATCTCTCAAACAAGGGATCACGCGAGGACGTCGGGCGCGAAGGTGACCCCTATGCAGTCGATTCCGAATCGTCTGGCCACTCACTCTCACACCAGTGTCTGTTTGAAGACGAGCGCTGGTCTGATTTGCTGTGATGACACGATTTCTCAAGGCCAAGGTACGGATAAATCGATCCTGGGCTTGAGTTGTCGCCCTTGGTCGACCTGAGCGTGGTCTGTCCTGTACAGATTGTGTATCACGGTATCTGGACCATAGCCTGCTTATGACAGACTGAGAAACATTCATCGTCCGCGCCACAACCGCCTGTGTTGTGCCGATCTGTAGCATGCCAAGGGCACGTAACCTTTCATTTTGGGTAAGCCGACCCTTTAAAAATTTGTTTTCTGGTCACTAAAACAATTAAACTGATGTTTCCACCCTGGAATTCAATGCCACAATGACTGTAACATTCAAAGTCAGAGTCGTGCAAATCTTGGGTTGGACCCCCATGATGATCCCAAGCATCACCTGCATTCCATGCGGTAGCTATTGGTGCGTTTGGGCGTCACATGTAACTGGAAATGTTTCTTCTGTTAGGTTCTATAGTGACTTTTTTCGTAGTCATTTGCATATTTTAGTATTATGCCCCCAAAATCAAATATCCCCTACTTTTTTTGAATAGTATATAATTCATCTTTAATAACCAGAACTCTTAAGACTACAAGTCGTCCCTGACAATCGTGCATTATTCGTACTAAATATATCTTAGAATGTATTCATGGTGTTAATTAATTATTTGAGTGAGAAGTAACGGTAGACATCCTTTCGCGCTGGATTCAGTCTTAAGGGAGCATCATAATGTTATAAAAAAATGTTATAGACTAAGGAATGTTATGGATTTAACATTGATGTCACTGGGGAGAAGAGTGCTAGTCTGAACCCTAAACTAAACTGAAGAGTTGCACCCCCTACACACCATCTTTACATCCCGCGTGATTTTATCATGTAAATGAGGTAGGTTGTACCTCACACATACAATGCTATAGACCACGAAATGTTAATGATTTAACATTGATGACACTGGTAAGGGATTTTATTAGTTAGAAGCCTAAACTAAAGTAAAAAGTTGTTTCCCTTACATACATCTTGTGTATTTTAATCCTGTAGATGAAGTAGCTTGTGCCTCACCAGAAGAATGTAAAGCTGTTTGTGGTAATCCAGCTGGATGTAGTAATATAGCATATCCTTTGTTAGTGATTCGTCTCCTACCTGAAGGTTAGTATCAGTTGGCCATTGTAAATCTTCGTTTTGACACAACAACAATGGGGATTACTTTTCTATATTGAGACGGGTCAATGCCATATAGTGTGCTATGGGACAAATTGTACCAGGCAAAGGAGGTTTTGCCCACGCGTCTTCAAATACCCACGGTCTAACAAAAACATAAAATATTGACATAGTCAGACAACAGAAGACACTATATACTCAACTCATTTGCGATAAACTACAAGATTATACTTAGTACAACCTACCCATTATTAAGGTTTGAGATTTGATAGCAAGCACAATAATATAAACAATTCCCCCTTTTCAACTGAGGTGGATAAGCTGTAAATTTTAATAGATTTGTTGATATCCATAGGGCTACGTGGACTGATGTTAGCCGCTCTAATGGCAGCCTTGATGAGTTCTTTGACTTCAATCTTCAACAGCGCCAGTAGTATGTTTACGATGGATATATGGCGGCGATTTAGAAATAAAGCCTCCGAAAACGAACTGATGGTAGTTGGTCGTGTAGCAGCGGGAACATGCGTGGGTTGTAGTATACTGTGGCTGCCGATACTAGAGAGTACTCAGGGAGGGCAACTCTGGATGTATCTTCAAGTCATCACATCCTGCATAGCACCACCATGGACAGTTTTGTTTGTTCTGGCTATATTTTGGAAACGTACAACCGAACAGGTAAATAACTAATTATACGGGGCATTTGGCTGTCTTACTAATCCACTAGACTCGACAACCTACACTTTGCGCGTTATTCGCGGTTATCTAGTCTAATCAATTTACTATCATTTCTATCTAATCACAATAACACCAATATTTCGTTCCTTTATATATTTTGGTCTTTACTGCACTTTATCTTGATCTAAAAACATTGGTTTATAGAGCTTCGTCAGTAATGCCTAGGTTGCGAATCGTCGACTGCAGACCAGCCGATCAATCAATTATAGTGGGTAACATGGGCGAGGCAGATAATGCTTAATGATACTACTGCACTATTGGGGTTGTATTTGCGCTTTAGGTCATAAAGTCTGTCATTGAGGCAAGTGGCGTAGGTTCGAGTCCCCGCTCGTACATTATAAGAGAAACGTGCTTTTTCCGGGTCCTCCCGTTTCAAGCCACTGAAAGTGGACTCTTTATCTTTGATTACCCCTTTATTCCATCCAGTATTTATATTTGTGGTAGTATGTCCTAGAGGGACAGACAGGCATGAGTCATTGGCAACCACCTTGGCCTTGGGTCCATTCACTTGATTTGATATTTGTTGTTTGTTTCTTTCAATATGTATGTAGTTTTTCTTGTCCGCAGATTTGTCTTATCGGTTTTGTTTTGCGTTTCTCCAGCACTTACTATCCGTGAACAGGCATTATAGTGTTATTCTCAAGTGACCGGGTGTTAAACATATATATATATTTGGGGTTTTTTTCAGGGTGCTTTCTGGGGATTAATGGCTGGACTAGTGGTTGGTATGATACGTTTAGTTTTAGAAATCTATTTTACGGTGCCGTTTTGTGGTAGTGGTGATGCCGATACCAGACCTTTGATTCTCAGTAAAGTTCATTTTTCACATTTTGCCATCATCATAGCTGGTGTTTGTGGGATAGTTACAGTATTAGTTAGTTTATTAACTGAAGCAAGACCCGACGAAAAGGTAGGGTTATATTAGTGACTGGTTAGGGTTGACTAGCATTTATTAACTGAAGCAAGACCCAGCGAAAAGGTAGGGTTATATTAGTGACTGCTTAGGGTTGACTGGTATTTATTAACTGATTCTCGACCCAACGAAAAGGTAGGGTTTTGTCATTCTCCACACAAGTCTCGCTCTCTAGCATTCGATTGTGCCATCGGCTCGCGCACTACACCGGTTGACCCAGAAGTCATTGGTCACGTGATTAACTTTATGCTGAACTAGGTATGTCAGAAAAGTTCTTGGCGTTATAAACACTTAACAAGTTTTAGTCAATTTTAGGCGGAAATGCCATCAATTACTAACCCTACGAAAAAAAAAGTCTTAAAAACAGTCTTAATTTTCATGTTTCATTTGTAAGTGCATTGGGTAAACAGATCCATGTGTATATAATTTTAAAATTAGCACAATGACATGCGTAGTTTATATTTACGACCCTTTAACCCCGTAAATATTTGTAAATACTTTATCATTTAACGATAAGTATGACCCCATTTCTATTTTATTATAGCAATAGAAATAAACATATTATCATTTATCTGGTTTCCATTGGATTGTTTATCATTGTCTATCAATACCAAGAATCTTGGTGGCATAGTCAAATGAGCCGTTAGCAGAGGTTGGTGTGGATTGTTTGGGAGATTAGGGTTGTATTAGTAACATGTTCATAGTCATATTCAGTATATTAACTAAATCAACACCCAACGATGGGGTTGGGCTATATTAGTTGCCGTCATGTTTATTATATTATATGTAACTGAAGCAAGACAAACAATTATGGTACGGATTTTAGTAGCCAGTATCACATATTCTGCTTAATATATTAGCCAAAGCAAGACATACATTCACAATAGCAAACATTTGTAATGAAGCTATTCGTTGAACAAGACTAAACATATCCCACGGGCAGAGACTACTGGTGCAGACTGGAATAACCAGACGCCAAAGACTGCCATTCAATTTGGACTCTTCGCGTATTTCGCCGAACATAACTGATTAGAAATTACAGTAAAACAGAAATGGTTAAATGTATATCAGTTTATGTACTTTCATATTACATTATCATATGCGTTGCGACCCATTTGTGTCCATTTCTAGTTGCCAAAGAATAGAGATTTAGCTCCTTTAAATTCGTCTCCCTCTTTGGTTTTAGCTAAGACGTGTCACGTGGTGGACAAGGCATGACTCCTTGGAGCCAGATATATCTGATTCAGAAGACGAAGAGGATGAGAACGAGGACATGACGAAAGGTAACAATGGCGCTGAATTACCAAGTAAAATGTCCCCTGTAAGTTTAAACCAGGACGGTCACCATCAACAAGCACGTCTAAACGAAAAAGGAATAGAGACAATCATAAGTAAGTATATGGGCCCTATTGGTGTTAGGGATATTGGATTGCCATGTGCGCTTCCGGTGCGTTTTGTGGGATTCTGTTAATGTTAATATTTATTCATAGCCCTTTGTTGACTGAAAGTCAATACTTTCCGGAAATTATATTGTTAAACTGTGAGACAACTGATAGAAATTTAATACACTGTATAGTAAAGTTATTGACCAATTCAGTGAAACTCCAGGTTTGGATTTATTTTCTATTTTTTCTATCAATACGTATTAGGATTATGTATTCACCAAATGTATTCTGATAAATGGATGCATTATAAAATGTGTTGAGACAATCAACAATCCTCTCCCAATGCTCGTTGTTCAAATTTCAACCTAAACCATCATCATAAAATGACTGATTAACTTTTTAATTATTTATGTACAGTTGCGAAGAAATCTTATCAGGAAGTTTTAAAGAATTGGTTGTGTGGAACGCAGGTGAACAGGAAACCAAAGTTATCAGCCGAAGAACGCGCCATTATCAGACAGAAGATGACGTCATTATCAGAAAATCCACGAAAAAAGAAACTATTAAATGGTTTAGGGTTAATACTGATGTTATTCACGACCTTTATGTTTGGGGTTTATATGTAAATATATTATTTGTAGGGTATATAAACGTATTCTACTGTTAAACTATTGGTTTTAATTTTAAATCTTAAAAGTGTTCTAACTCAGGGAGTTTGCAATAAACAGTAAATTATTAACATTGTGAGAGATACAAATTGACAATTTGATCATTTTGAAGGAAAAGATATAAGAAAGTAAATTTTTGAAAAAGATTCCAATCCAATATTTTTAATATTCTTGATGTGAGTTGTTTGAAAATCTTTATATCTTTTTACAAAATTAACAAAGAATCTTAGAGTCTAGAACAAAAGGTCGATCGACCCCAGCTTCAACCATGTTTTAAAAAGAACACCAGACTTTTAAGTGTCACCATTTTTGCCTTCAGTATTTTATTTTGTTTCTGTATTATAAAAATGTTGCTAGAATAAAGGTATGAGAAAAAGAATTGTGCTGATACATGAACTTATAGTTATAACACCATATAGGACGTATAGGAGGCAGACCACCATCTCGGTACACATTGTAGTTCGTCTATTCATCTCTCTCTCTCTCTCTCTCTCTCATCCCTTTCATGGCCATTTTTGCTGATTTGTTGGTCTAGAATGGAAGAAGAAAGAACTTTTGAATTATCATTGGTAAATATTCATGATTTAGAGGTGGAAGGGTAACATAGGTTAGAGGTTGGTTACGGTGATATGTACGGCAGAAAGGGGCGTGTTTTTAGTATGCTACTTAAAGTTTGTATCTCAAAATTTCACTGGTAAATTATCATTGGTAAATATTCATGATTTAGAGGTGGAAGGGTAACATAGGCTAGGGGTTGGTTACGGTGATATGTACGGCAGAAAGGGGCGTGTTTTAAGTATGCTACATAAGTTTGTATCTCAAAATTTCACTGGTCAAACTCATCCAAATTCTAGACCAAAGCCATGGCCAGTCAGTCTGTAGTGAAAAGCGTTCAGCCCAGCGAAGGTTTTGGGAAAAGTTGGAATGGTGGTCTGCCTCCTATACGGATACACCTTGTTTTATCTCCCTTTAAATGTACTGCGGTATTCTGATTGACGATAATGTAAATGAGTCTTCAATGGATGGTGTTTTTCAGCAGTCCCTTAACACCAGTCTCTTTAGCAATATAAAGATGCGCGAATAAGTTCCAAAGTCAAATGTGACTCTTCTTATTCTACTTTCTATCGTATTCCATAGATTGTCACCTGCAGCACAAATTGGTTCCATCCCAGTTGTAAAATAATTACAACAGTTTATAGAATTATATGAGCTTTATATGACTACAATAATACAAAACAATATATGAAAGCAGATAATTGTAACTATGTAATATCATTGTAAGCTATATACACAAGCTAAAATGTTGGGACAGTAAATTAAATCTTAAATAATATATCGCAAGTTGGCCTAAAGCGCCATCTGACGATCCTCTGCAGGGTTGGGTCTGTACGGAGATCCATTGACGTCATAACGTCAACAGGAAAATCGGTCATTTTGTGACATCATGTGACAGCTCGCAGGAAGTGGATAATTGATCATACCGCCACATATCGGCATGTATTGCGGCCACTGATGATGAGAAATAATTGTAGCCTAATTAAAGGAGACATCGTTTGTTATCTCTCTTTAATTACAACGAGGCATGCTAGTTGGCAGTACTATAGCAGATAAAATATTAGCAAAAGTTGGGAACGTAACTGATTAAATGTATAATATTAGTCTCGAACACCCAGAACCTCAACGCACGGAGAATCTTGGTCAGTTGTACATATTTGACAAAATTGTACTCAATAATCATAAACATAAAAAAATGATTCCGCATGGACAATGGAACATTTTAGCTAAAGCCAAGATGAGTTGCGCCCCTTCCCGAAATAAATCCCATAAATTCATGCATTATTATAAACTACCAATTCGGATTAATTAAAACCACATATTATTATATGATCCTTGAAAAGAAAATTTTGCAATAAAAAAATAGAAATGTTGGATGTTGAAAAGGCAATGCAAATAGGTTTTTTGAAATGGCAATTCTTACATTAATTTCGTTGGCGTCGACAGCTTCTTTTAGTACTAGTTACCCCCCTTATTACGCTCTCTGACTGAAAAAAGTAGATTTTGAACATGGTAACGTAAAAGACCGGATAATCTAACTAATATTATATCTAATAAAATACACACAAAAGGAGGGCGAGTAATTGTTGATCATAAAAGAATGGAAAATAGCAGAAGCCTAGTAAATGGAAACACCTTTTTTAATCTCCCTTTAATTACACTGCGGCATGACGGCTGCTGATAACGGCGGCGCTAAAATAAAAACAAAAACATTCTACATTAATGCATATCGATACTTAATCTTATAGTCAAAAATATATAATAGGTTACCAGAATATGGCTAATCAAATAACTTGTGGGAGGTTTGGCAGTGCATAGAACTTACCAATTACACTGAGATTTTAAAATGATAAAATAGTATTGTTGATTACTTGATCATAACTCAATTTGGATCTGTACTTCTCGCGCGAAGATAAATAAAACGTATTGCTTTGGCAGTGGTTATACTAAATTATTACGAGATACTTCAACAGAAAGAGACAGGGGGGGGGGGGGGGGTAGCGTCCACTCGATACAAACAAGGTCATTTTCTGGACATAGGCCTATGCATTAATTTTATTTCAATAATTCGCTTATGCGTAGGGGTCTTTAGTAGTGGGAAAACCGGAGGACCCGTGGAAAACCCAAGACTTCGGTCCTTCTTGTATTTGCGGCTTGTTGCCTTTGCCCTCCGATGAAGCATGCCACGAGAAATGGTCCTAATGTCGCGCCGTTGAGGCTTCGCTCGACTATGAGTTAACAGGGCGAAGGCAAGTAGACATAAATTGAACAATACGAATACGTGACGCGACTTCTTGGCTACGCACTGATTATGTCTTGCCTTCGCCCTTTTGACTCAGTGAAGTGAAGTCGCGACGGACTGAGGGGCCATTTGAGGCGGCTTCTTGACTTCGTCTTCTCAGTTGTTAAAGTGAAGGCAAGAGGATGCGCGGAGATGTTATCGGCGTCCTTGGGGGACCCCTTACTGCATCATATACTCACTTGTTGGCAAGTCGAGATCTACTTTTATTCTCAATCTTGGCATGCAACCACCACAGTATCCATCCCCTCTAGCTTCAAATCTATACGTTGAATGTTCTAATATATCACAATCTTCGAAATACGTTGCCCGGGAACTGTTCTTCCAGGTAGTCTTTAATATATAACAAGACATATATCACCGTATTGTACAGTTCTTACTATTACGATTGTCATCTAACATAAATCTATACTAAAAAATATCCTGGACGATAACACATGGTAAATGTGGAGAAAGTACACCCTATGTAACACTATCAGTGTATAACAGAATATCAGTTTGGTGTATGAAAGTCATTCCCACCAGGAACAGGAATATAAAACAAGAGCAGGAACTGGCACATGACGTAACAATTACATGGGTTCATGAACAGTGCACTGCATACTAAAGGGAAAATCAACCTTAGGTCCACTCGTTTAAGGCAACTACCAAAATAGCGACTCAAGCCGGGAATATTAATCAACACGACAAAAGAGAGAGATAGAAAACATGGGGCATAACGTACACTCGACACAAACTAGGTCAATTCGGGACAAACATATGGTTTAATTTTATTTCAATCAATACAGTAGGGGGAAACCGGGGTACCCTGAGAAAACCCACGAGATTAGACAGGCGAACATACTCCGTGTAACTACAACGGGTGAATCGAAACCACACCACTTCACTTACTCAATTATAGACTTTATGATGCAACGCGCACCAGGTTCTCCGGTTTCCTCCCACTGCTAAAGGCCACTACGCGCAAGCGAATTATTGAAATAAAGTTAAACCATATGTTAGTCCCGAAATGATCTAGTTTGTATCAAGTGGACGTTAAACTCACTCTCTCTCTCTCTCTCTCTCTCTCTCTCATCCAAAATGACTTAATTATAGGAACTGTTGGTTTCCAACAAGAGGGAATTGGGTTTTACATGTTCACTAAATCTAGAAGATTGCTAATCATCATTAAATATAGAGTCTGAATAAATTAAATGAAATCGGGTTTAGCGTCCCGCAGTTCTGCTCCGACTGAACTAATGAAGATGGGGATACGCCAAAGAGTGTGCTATGAGGGAAATTGTACCCAGACAGTGGCGCTACGGCCTACTATTATATCGATTTACAATTGTCAATGGATCTTTTAGGTGCACGTCAATGTGTACACAGGGCCTCGGCTTTCCGTCCTGCATCACTGACAAGGGGGGGGGGGCACATCGGAAAATTCCGAAGAACTTTATTGTCCAACACAGGGATCGAACACGGAACCCTTAGGTTAGTGAGCCAACGTCTTACCCACTGAGTCACCGTGGCTACTAAAATATGGAGTCGTATATACCACACGTTACCGTATAACTGACTAGCCCATTAAGGAAATCTTTGTATTACGATATAGCGCACAGGTAATTTCGATTGTCAAGTACCATTCTTACGATAATAAACACAGTCTCGATTATCCAGTTTTACACTAATTTATAAAATGGTGATGGTGTTTTAATCCATTCAATATCTCGGCCATCAGATGGTTTAGAGAGTTGTTTATGGACTTATAAATATTAAAAAGTAGATACAAACCAAGGGACTTAATTTAAATCCTGTCTGTCTAAAGTCTACCAGAACATAGCCTCTTCTTGGACAAGTGACGTAATCATGAATTCCAGAACATGCTATAGCCTCACCAAATCGTTTCACTTCTCCACTGATTTGTGTCGTATATTGGGTGCCAGTATCGATAATTTCTCCTGTCTGGCGAAAATAAAAATACAAATTATGAGGAGCTGAACTAATTCAGTACACAGACAGTACGGATAATGCAAGTCGTGGGTGCAGAACGGAAGGCATGACAAGGAAAAATGTCTAGGCATTCGAAATGCACTAAAATAGACCCTTGATAGTTGGAATTCTATGATGAATGGATGGAAATCCCGATGTATGTTCAACATGTTCTTCAGACGAGGACTGGCTGAAAAGGATAGATCAGTTGGGTTGAAAATAAATATTGCCACCAACAAGTAAAATCATTGAATGAATCATAGACTGCAGTAAAGAAGGGGGCTGCGGAATTTAAACGTGGGAGGGGGAGTCTTGAAGATGACCCACGTCCTGGAAGGCCATCAACAGCAACCATTTAAGAAAACATTACCCGGGTGCATAAGATGTTTATATTTTGTCTGATCCACCATAGGGTTGTATATTTTTATATTGGTCCATGTCCAAACCACAGGGCCTGAACCACGCCAAATTTCTGCGGTTGTCTACAGGCTGAAATTCTATCACACCCACTTTATTTTAAAAAGTCGCTTGCGCATAGGGGTCT